CATAGTATACTCTCTCTCTCTCTCTCTCTCTCTCTCTCTCTCTCTCTCTCTCTCTCTTTCTCAGAGTCTCTCGCGCGCGCGCGCTGAGAGACAGACAGAGAGAGAGGCGGAGTGCGCGCTCTAGCATAGCTGCGCGCCTGTCTACGAGGTCTTTTTTTTTTTTTTTAATCAATCAGTCAATCAATCAATCAACCACTTCAACATTTGATCAATCAATCAATCAATCAATTTGTATTTCTTTATTTTGTTTTTTTTTTTCCTGTTGTGATGATTTTTTTTTTTTTAATTTAAAAAAGACCAAAAAATAAAATAAAGAATATGGGGGTCTAGAGCACGAAAGGCTCTACATCCCCCTTTTTTTTCGCTTTTTTTTTTGGGGGGGGGGGGGTGTCATTATGTACGGGGCCGTTCATACGGCCGTATGACCATCGGTACGGCCGTGCGAGCAGAGCCCCATACGACGTACGGAGAGTTCCACAGCGAGGATTCAATTTGGTCGATTGAGAAACTATGCTTGCGCACATACAAAGACTTTTCGTTGTATGGGCCAAAGACGGCGAAATTTGCAACAGTCGAAAAATACTATCGGATAGCAATCTTGTCAAAACGGACATATTTTTTTATGTTTTGTACGAAATCGAAAATCCAAACTGGGGTCAAAGTTTGATGAAATTTAGGGTACTGTTCCCATGGGAGTGTGAGGCATTGTTCAAGAAATTGAAGTACCTTGACGCATTATGAAGTCCTCAAACTTCCATATCAGGAACAGCCCTTTGTTGTGACCACAAACGACAGCCAATACAGCATAGGCGCGGTCCTTGTGCAAAAGGAGAAGAAAAAGTTGAGTCCGATCGAGTATATGATAAAAAAGATGCGAGCAAAAAGACGCCATCTCATAAATTAGCCGAGCAAAAAGATGCCATCTCATAAGTTAGCTAAGTCCACGTATGAGCGTTAGCTCTATGCCCTCTATAGAGCGCTGGTCTACGAATCCCACCCTGTGGCGGGAGCGTCGTCGAACTCGCCAAGAAGCAGTGTACGCAAGTGAGTCACTCGGTACGCAAAGAAGGTCCTTCCCCGGCGTGTGGACAAGCAAGTACCCACTGTGTGTCTATTCAACGTGCAATGGAAAAGTTTCAACGTTGTTGTACCCGTTGAATAGCCCTCAGGGGCCCGTTGAATAGTACAACGGGCCCTCCCCGTCGAATAATGTTCAATGGGAAAGGCGCATTGGGCCTCGGACACATCGCTGGACGCGCGTTGAATCCCGTTGAATCCAGTTGAATCCCCGTTGAATCCTCGTTGAATCCCGTTGAATCCTGTCGATTTTTTTTTTTTTTTTTTTACCTCTACCCACAAAATCCAGGAGCATGGTCCCATTAGCAGTCGGATAGGAATGTGGCCTATCCAGTGTGACACTGAGTGACAGCGAACTGACAGGTTCATTATGAGTTTCTGGGTTGAGAAAACAGGAGGCTGGCAAAAAAAACAAAAAAAAAAACAGAGACCTCCCACCTGAAATTACGGCGGAGTGCTTCCCAGCCATCAGATCACAAATGATATGATGCTGGTGGTTGCAACAACAGTGAACAAAGTAACTGCCACATTTTCTGGAATAAAATCAACTTCTGTCAGCAGTGATTCTGAAGCCCTCCATACACTCCGTGATTGAAGGAGGGCTCCGCCCAATGAGATAATTGCACAACAGCAAGCAAAGTACTGAAAATTTTCTATCGAGTGGGCCTATGGCCGACCCCACTCTCTTTTGGGGTTGGCCATACCCCCAACGGATTGAAAAGATTTTGGCAGGAAGCTTCCTTTGCACCAAGCCTAGTGTTAAGGAGAGGAGGAGGGAAACCAAGATCTCCTTACTTTTTCGGGTAATACATGTAAAATACTGACTGTGGGATCACGCGTACTGCACGGCAGGATTTGGGTCACTCAACTGCCACACAAACTCTTTTTTATCCTATCTCGTTGCTAGTGGGATCATGCTCCGGGGTGTTGTAGAGGTCAGCTAATGTGTGCACAGTGATCACCTGGAACTGTGAGTCGTGGGTGTCCTGGAATATGAGACCACCTCCCAACCCATCCTCACCTCAATACTCCTAGCGCACCCCCTATCCCACTATTCTACCTCGGTGTGACCAGCACTCACGACGATTGCCCTACCAACGGGCAACAACAGTGATAGGCACCAGGGCTGATAGATTGCCCAGCCCCGGTGGAAGCGCAATCGGACGAACCTTGTCGAATGGGAACTTCGGACGCCAGACCCAGATAATGAACTACAGGCCCCATATATATATAGCCACTAGACAGTTCTATCCGGATGTCATTAGGAACTGCACCCAATGGCATCCTATGTCGTTGAACCAAAAAAAAAAAATTAGCATCAAGGTTGTTTTTTAATTTTCTTACTTTTTTAATGGATGGAAAAAAAAAAGGGCGCGTGGTGTTTGAAAAACTCTACACGCCCATATTTCTGTTTTTGAAGTTTTTTCTGATTTTGAAGTTTTTTCTGATTTTGACATTTTTTTTTTAATAGAAAACTAAAAAAAAAAAAAAAAAGAA